TCTTGAATAACATCTCCGAACCCTAATCTCTCCCATTACTTTAATACTTTTACTACCTCTACTACTATGGGATTTGAATTGACTATTATATCTCTGTGCTAATGTGATATGGCAACTTGAACTACTGTACTTACATGCAAAGTTCTACGTTGCTGTTGATGAATGCCTGCATGTGTACTTTACATTTCAAGGTCATATTTCACGATTACAATATAAAACAAATGAAACAGGACATAAGCGTACGCATACATAATTACTAGAGTTTCAGAAGGAGAATAACATACATCGTATTAGTATCGGAAGTTAAGGATGCTTAGAAACAGTTTGTGATATGTACATCTGTAAAAGACTATCCTTACTGTTCAATTTGAAGAACGAGTACCTAGTAGCATCTAACTGTGTAATCAAGTAAGCAGCTAAAGCCCCAATTCCTGACGAGTTAATTTGGTTGGTAGTAAGATTTATAACTCTTCGCATGTGTGCAGCCAACTTTTGGAGTCTATTTCGTGATAACAAAAAAACATTGAGGGACGAAAGTATCATCACTTAAGTTTAATAATTTTAAATATATTTAGCACTCTGTAGATACTTGATAAAAAAAGCAGTGATACAACTGCAATACTCAAACAAGAAGAAAACCACAACATTGAAGTTTGGTTGATTGCTTTTTCGGAGAATAAACCTAGGTAATTATTTATCCTGTGAAGCAGCAGAAAACACTTGGTGAAATCATCGAAATTCAGTATTACTTCGGGATATTACACACATCACTACTTCGATTTGTGTTGAGGAATATTAGGAAAGGAACCCCCTACAAGACTTAAATGGATTTTTCTGTGAAAGCCTCAAACGCATATATTCTGATTTCTTTAATAGTTTGATAAGTATATAACAGTGGTGTCATCATCATGACTTGAGTAAGTTATGCCTCTTAATTACATGAAAGTGGAGTCCTAACGACGGTACACTGTGCGTGGTTACATCAAACAATACAGTAGGAATTGAGAAATGCGGATACTCTCATTGTATCTCACCTCTACCTATACCGCTCACTGATTGCAGCCCGGGTTAACTGAGGCGTATCTCAAAAAAGCTTCCTGATCTACAGATGTACAGCTGCAGCGTATGGTTTAAATCTCGAAGCAGGTAAGCCAGATGAAGCTAAAATACACTTACGACGATTTTCTGGAGTCTTAACACAGTGGAAAGATAACAGTGACCGATTATTTCAACTATTTATAGATCATTGTTTTTCCGAATAAGGCGGCAACTTCATGCATAAAAAAATAATAGACACAAACAGGTTATAATGCAATTAATCGCTATTGGAGATGTTCAAGTGAAGAATGTATGCATCTAAACTACTAACACATTTTGACATGGCCTGTTACTTGCCTGCAGTCAGTCAGTAACAACGTGAAACTTCGTACATACGTACATCAATTCAAGTTGCCATACCACATTAGCACAGAAATGCAATAGTCAATTCAAATCCCATAGTAGTATATATAGTAAAGTATTAGCAGGAATAGAGAAGATTAGGGTTCAAAGATATTATTCAAGAAGCATAATCCAGACCAAAACTCCGCCAGTAGAACCTTCGGGGCTACTGCCGGTCCCAAGCCCGGATAAAGGGGGAGGGTTGGCGACCCCATCCCGACAAAAAGACGCCAACCAGAAAAAAATAATTCAAAACATGGTAGGAATCCATGAATTCATTGACAAGTGGACTGAGTCATGTCGGTAGGTGTCGACTACCCAGTTAGGGTCCGCGAGATGATGGTAATCGATGGCTAGAAACCCTGAACTACATAGCTCAAAACTGTTTGCAATGGCGCTGGTGCATTTATTCTTTGTGTTTTACAAAATTCTAACCTGAATTCCTCATCACCTATATCTTTCTCTTTCTCAATTTACCTCACTGAATTATACTTCTTGAATAACATCTCCGAACCCTAATCTCTTCCATTACTTTAATACTTTTACTACCTCTACTACTATGGGATTTGAATTGGCAATTACATCTCTGTGCTAATGTGGTATGGCAACATGAACTGATGTACTTACGGACGAAGTTATACGTTGCATCTGATTGACTGATAATCCAGTAAAATGAATTTGAAAAGAGAAAGATAGAGATTAGGAAATAAGACTATAATTTCAGAGAAGACAGAGGACGAATGTCTGAAACTTAAAAACATCTCCCTGAAAAAATAACGGCATACCGCCTAAATCAGATGATTAAGTCAACTCATAATTCCTTAATAGACAATCATACATGGTTTGGGATTAGTGACAGCTTTATAGTTAAAAACAGATAACTATTCTGCGATTCGAAGTAGCTGTAAATAGGCTCCTAACTGCTATTGTCGGTAAAGAAAGCGACAAGCTTAAAAACATGCGAAAAAGCTTGTGCGTTGAACCATGGCGGATGAACAATCAAAATTACTCATCTTTTTAATCCTGTGTATCTGTAGATTTTAACATTATATTCCTAGCAATGTATTACAGGAGAATATTTAAAAGAAAAGCACTCCGGCAAGCTAAATACAGAATCCTAATAAAGACACCATTACAAAATTGTATGGGAATATGTCTAACCCTAACAGATTTTCTAGTATGGGTTTTTGACTAAAAGGGATTTGAAAAATTATGAAACAATCTAAACAATGAAATCAAACAAAAAGCCTTACCGAAAAAACTGTCTCCATTTACCATCAGTCCTTGGACGTACTTAAACACGCTGAACTCATCTCCACATAGAACATAGTGAATGCCAGAACACTACAGTAAAAATTAGCAGTATTAGTTTCGGAGAATTCGAATATTTGTCAATACTGCCGTATCTAGGCGCAAAATAAGGTCCTTTTGCGTTATATACAATCCCAAAACATGAGTATAGAAAAAGACGGGAAGACAAACTGCGAGCTAAAGTTCCAGCAGCACCGTTTCAAACAAAACTTCAGATTCAAGCTTTTCCTTGTTAGCTTGCTACAAATTGCAAAAGTCATTTCTAAATGATTTTGAAATGGATATGCTTAGTTTATTTTGTGAAAATTTTCCAGCAAAAATGGAGGATAATAGAGAGAGAGAGTTAACGCTAAAGAGAGAACAATTATTTCAGATACACGTAGATAAATTAATCAACAGGTTTATTAGTTGGCAGTACGAATAATGTGAGAAAACTAAAGTTTTAAGGTAGAGAGGAAACACAGATGGTACGTTTTATGTTTTCTGCTTGATGTAACGCCAAACCACTGTATTAATGACCCTCGAAACGTTAGACTCCCACCGTCAAAAATAAAAAGACGGAAGACGTTGGAGAACACTTATTAACAGAATCAAAAATATACAACCAAACATGCGTATTTATACAATTATAAATATAATCGATGTTGTCGTTTAAATATTTGAATTTTAAATCCAATAGTTCATCGATTGACTGCCCTTGAAATATTTAAGCATTTAATCGATAAGTTCATCAATCCACAATGTGCATTGCTTTCTTCTCGATTGGCTATCCCAACACCTCCCCAGAATAAGATTTTTTTCTTGGGTCCACTTGTAGTCTTACGACTGGGTTGCGGCGGCGTTCCATTCTGGTTATAGTTTCTCGAGTTAATGTCTCCAACCTTCCCTTTTCTTCGGCATTCCGGGAAAAATGTGTAGTTGTCGGTTCTGTGATCAACTCCAGGGGGGGATTCACGCGATTATCACCCGAGCGTGCCATTCTTTCGTCCCTTCGCAGTTGGTTTGTGTGTCTAACACAGCTTCCGAAAGCTCCTATGATTCGATACAAAACTCTTCCTAGTCTTTGGACGACTGTTCCTGGTTCCCATTGATTTTTACCACGATATGTTTTTAGGAACACTTTATCGCCCACGTTGAAGCTGCGAATATTTTGATTTGGCCTCATTTTTTGAAACAGTGCACAATATTTTTCCAACAATATTTAACTTACCACCAGATGCGCTGTGTGCTAGTTGCTTCGTTTGGTGAACTGTAGGTTTTCCAATTTTCTCCCAAGTTTTTGGACTGATAAGGGTGATATCAGATGCTGTGTCAAGTTGAAGACGGATACGGTGTGAATTCATATCCAAAGTCACATACTTTCTTCTTTAGTGAATTCTTGTCTGGTTATGAGACACCAATACTCGGTTTATTGGCTTACCAGAACTGTATTTCTTGGAATCAAATTTCGCGGAGTAATGTCTGCGAGTTTTTTTGCTACATCGAGATTCTTTGTGACCCTTTTTGTGACATTTAGTGCAAACATAATCTCTGTATGGACAAAACTTCTTATAGTGCCAACCTCCACATGACCAGCATGGAGATGAGGGCTGGTTGTCTGTGCTTTTGTGATGCTTTTGTGAGCCGGAATTTTTCTTTTCACTAACGGCATGCACGTATGATGGACGGCCATTGTTTTCGACCATGGAGGTATCATGCTTCAAATTTACTAATCTCTGGCACTCTGCAGTTATTTCTTGAAGCGAGATGTTTGGGCACTGCTCAATTTTACTTAAGATTCTGGTTCTTATGTCAGCATCTTCGGGAGATTGTAAGCTGCACACAAACACAAGGCACTTAAACTGATCTTCCGTCATTGATGATAAATTAAAACGTTCGCATTCACGATTTACTAAGCCGGCGTGCTTTACCCAATCATCTTCATTTGACTTGATTATTTTGAGGCATCGATAACGAATATTAAAGAGAGATGACTGTTCAGAGAAAATTTGCGACAGCGTATCAATTGTAGCGTCAAAAGAGAAATCTTGTAGATTTATTTCGACAGTGGCTGTCCCAATTGTTTCCTATAGAAACACTCCTGTACGTTCCTCCTAGTTCCGGGTCCCGACCAAATCAAAAAGGGCAAAATTCTAGGAGAAAACGTCTCTATATTATTATAAAATGGAAATACAAAGTCTTACGGAATTTGTGTTTCTTCCAGGGTTAAATTACTCCGCAGAGTATCCAACACAATAGCCGATAAGTGAAGCTAAGTCCAGCAGCCACCGCGTCCGTCCAAAAATGTGGCGGTAGCCATATTATATCAAATTTAAACAATATATGTACAGTTCAGAAGCAAACACAAAAACTTCAATATAAGTACAAAATATAGAAAGAATAACAATATACAATGATAAAATCTCAAATTGGAATCAAATAAAATACCAAAAATGTCAAGAGAAAAAGTCCATCATGTCATAGCAAAAATATGTAAACATGGAGGGATTTTCCAAAAAACAAAACATTCAAAAAGAATTCTACACCGGCCCGCAAAATCCCTCCATGCAAAAAGAGCAAGCGTTAATGACACTTTATTTAGGGTTCCCATGTTATCCCCTAATCCACACCGGAATAACGTGTAGGACTTACAGCAGTACGCCTACCCGCCATCCAACATGGATATGACCTATCGTGTTAACTAGGTACCTATACTTTCCCATCAGGCCCTTGATTCCCCTATCTATCGTGGAATGACCTAACGGTAGTATAAACCTTACCCAATTAACCCATACGAACATGAACAACGCGTCGCAAAACTGGTCATATCCTATCCAAGGACTACATTCTCTATCGTGGGGACGAGTCGCCAATCCACCACCACTTGCTCCGATCAGCAGATACCATGAAGTCCGTGATGCTAACTTATCAACAGAAGTTTTTGACCCATAAATAATATGCAAGGGTGGGATTTCCAATTTTGACATTTCATCGTCTCCAGAAGACCTTAAGTAGCATGACGTAGGATCAATATTTATCCTTCCATCTCCTGATGCAGAGGAGGTTTGAACAGTATTCATCATCGTCGGTAACTCATTTGTCACATCAGTGACATCCAGTTTATTATCAACGTCTAAATGATTCCGTTCTGCATTAGCATCCGTTTCAGCGGCACAAGACATATGCTCAACAATAGCATCGTCATCACACAGCACTGTAGACTGGCTGTTACCATCAAACACTTTCTTCTCATCATCACTCGACTGACAGTCAACCGTAATAGGAACAGTTACAGTTGCACAACCTTGTGCATCTTCAATCAACTTAACCTTCGTGACGAGGTCCGATGGCGTCGAAACACTAGGAGGCTCATTCGATGAAGTTGATAAACTAGTCCCTATAAGTGAACTGCTGACACTTTCTATATCCTTATTATCACTGTCACTACTAAGGTTCTGATGGCTACTATTTCCATGGCTAGTCGTAGCATCCGAAAGAGCATGAGGTTCAGGCTTCTTAGTAATAGTAGCATCATGTTGTCTCCTAGGCTTCTTAGCCGTTACTGTACCACCATCACTTATCCTAGAATCTACTCTAGGTCCAGTTATATAATTTACCCTAACTGAAGGGTTCCGAAAATAAGCTTTATTCCGTTCAGTCAATCCTGCCTGGGCCTTATTCATATTTGCTGAACTCATTAACCTCTGATTACTCGAATCCAAATAACCGTTCCAGGCTTTTCGAGCAGCTAAGAGGCTTTTATCATCACACACTTCGGATCCATCTTGATGCCTACACTTTTCACCTTTTTCTTTCTTTTCTATACTTAGAAAAGCCATCTTATCTGTTACACCAACCGGCTTCTTGCTAGGACACGCATCAAGAGGCTTTACATCGTTACGGTCACATACTCGTCCTTCATCAGCGTATGCTTTCGTGATATAATTGACAAATCTCTTATCTTCCGAGCGTGCTTTAGGTAGAAACGAAAAATCCGAATGTCTCGCACGCAGACCACTAGTAGCTTCCGTATTATTTCCTGTTTTAGCCTGATAAGCTAATCTTCCAAACCTACTACTAGCTATCTTAGCACGAGACATAATAAATTCCGTCAATTCCTTGAAATTAGGCTCTCTCTCCTCTTCGTCCCACTTGAATACTAGCTCTGCCCACTGGGCTTGCATTCGACGAGGTAAGAGCCTTACTATTCGTTCTAAAGTAGCCATAGAGTTAAGTTCAGCTGTACAATTTAACTGTTCTAAAGTTAAAGCAGCGTTCTGCATTTTAATAGCCAAGTTCGTCAATGATTCAGGATCATTAAATTCTACATTCCCAGTTCTAAATAAGTCCTCTAAGGTTTCTCGCGCTATTACATGCGACTGTCCAAAGATCTGTTTTAGAATGGCCTTAGCTCTCTTATATCCTGATTGTGGATCCATAATAATACAGCCTTCAATCGCATTTTTTGCTTTTCCCTTACAATAATGAATTAAATACAATAAACGCACTTGATCATCCTTTATTCGAGGTTCTATAAACGTCTCTATTTGTCGTATGAACCTAAAATAGTCGCGAGACCTTCCATCAAAAAATGAGAGTTCAACCTTAGGTAGTTCTAAACCCTCTATCGATGACTTACAATAATAAATATCAGACATAGCATGTGGGTTACCCATAAAAAGGTTATCATTAACGACTTGCCTAGAGCCCTGTGATCCGTCGAGCTCTTCCACCGTCCTCATGTGTGATTTTTTTTCTGTTTGACATCAGAAATAAAGTTCAGTAGAAAAGGTAACAGATACAAAATAGAGTAATTCCACAGTTCAGTGCAAAATTACAATGAATAATCCAACTTCTTCCTCCAAGGAAATCTAGTGTGATAAACGATTAAAATTCCGAGATGGTGGAGAAAACTTGTAGCTCAGGTGGATGATTGTGGTGGTGTTTTGTTCTCTGAGCTGGTTGTTTTGGTTGTGGAGCTTTCATTGTTCTTCTGAACAACATCATCAGCACGAACTTCAGATAGAAGTGAAGCATTAGAATTTCTCCACGTTTGACCTGTAGCTTGTTCTGCTAACCTCGATCTTGATTGGTTGTTGTTGACATTTGACCTGCCGTTGTTTGCAACTATGTTTTGATTGCCTCCCTCTTTTGATCTGTTTCTTGATCTAGTGTCACCTATGATTTTCCTGATTGGTTGATAAATTGGGTCAATGTCGATGTGTTTGTTGATTGCTAATTGACCTGAGTGCCAAGCTTCTAAAAATTCTCTAGTGTTCTTTGTCCTCCCCCTACCTAGTATTTCCACGTTGTTCCAATCAAATGTGTCCATAATTGTCGGTGTGTATTGATATAAGCGAAGCGTTGTCGTGGCGTTTGACTGCTAATTGATGTTCACGTAAACGGAGCTGAAGAGGTCGTCCACTTTGTCCTATGTAGTGTTTTTCACAATTTGAGCAATTTATTTTGTAGATGATATTTGGTTTTTCTTCCTTTGTCATTTTGTCCTTTGGTCTACATAGGATTGACTGAAGTGATTCCGTTGGTTTGTGTGCCACACCTATTCCAAATGGTTTCAGTAGTCGTGCCGTATGCTCTGATATGTCTTTGATGTATGGTAGGATGATGCGTTTATTTGTTCCTGTGCTTGATTTCAATCCTGATGATAGTTTTGGTTGATGTTTTTTGATGAAGTTGCGTGGATAGCCGTTCTTTTGGAAGATAGTCATCAGATGTTTTTCCTCGTTTTTTAATGTTTCGTATGTGCTGCAGTGTGTCTTCGCTCTCTTGAACAGAGTTTGTATGCAGTTGATTTTGTGGGTTCTTGGGTTGTTGCTGTCGTAGTTGAGAATTACGTCGGTGTGGATTAAAATTCCAAATGTTTCTTAATAATTCTTAATAATCCGAATAGTTCCAAAGTATATACGTTCCGATGAATATTTCCAAAGTATAATCCACGAAAGAAGAAATTCCAGACTGTAGATTTTATTTCGACAGTGGCTGTCCCAATTGTTTCCTATAGAAACACTCCTGTACGTTCCTCCTAGGTCCGGGTTCCGACCAAATCAAAAAGGGCAAAATTCTAGGAGAAAACGTCTCTATATTATTATAAAATGGAAATACAAAGTCTTACGGAATTTGTGTTTCTTCCAGGGTTAAATTACTCCGCAGAGTATCCAGCACAATAGCCGATAAGTGAAGCTAAGTCCAGCAGCCACCGCGTCCGTCCAAAAATGTGGCGGTAGCCATATTATATCAAATTTAAACAATATATGTACAGTTCAGAAGCAAACACAAAAACTTCAATATAAGTACAAAATATAGAAAGAATAACAATATACAATGATAAAATCTCAAATTGGAATCAAATAAAATACCAAAAATGTCAAGAGAAAAAGTCCATCATGTCATAGCAAAAATATGTAAACATGGAGAGATTTTCCAAAAAACAAAACATTCAAAAATAATTCTACAAATCTCGTGGGTTCTTTGGGAGGATGAAGTTACTATAACGTTCGTGTTCGATTGTGCCGAGCTTTCTCAAGAGGATTCTAACTTTGGTGGCGTCATCAAGATTGTTGAGGTCGACCTTGAACATATCCTCATACTTCTTAAACCAAGACTCGAAAGTCACACCAGCAAGGCCAGTAAAATGGAATTCATGAATGGAATTAACTATCGAGTCTGCATGTGGATTATATGTGTCGTCGGTAAGACCTCTGTGATTCAAATTCATTTGTTTCATAAACAACTCCAACATACGTTCCTGGAACTGTTCATATCGTTTTCCTTGACGTTCCAGTAAAGATTCTATCTGTTCAAGGGTAATTGGCATTGTGGGTTGAACACTTTGTCGCCACTTTTATGTTTTCTGCTTGATGTAACGCCAAACCACTGTATTAATGACCCTCGAAACGTTAGACTCCCACCGTCAAAAATAAAAAGACGGAAGACGTTGGAGAACACTTATTAACAGAATCAAAAATATACAACCAAACATGCGTATTTATACAATTATAAATATAATCGATGTTGTCGTTTAAATATTTGAATTTTAAATCCAATAGTTCATCGATTGACTGCCCTTGAAATATTTAAGCATTTAATCGATAAGTTCATCAATCCACAATGTGCATTGCTTTCTTCTCGATTGGCTATCCCAACAGTACTGAGTAAGATAAATTGAGTTGGTTACGTGTTGTATTAATTAAGATAACAACACTTAAGTTTTGAGACATTCGCCATGTACAGCTGGTATAAGCGAGAGACACAACATCAACTTACATGTGGAAAATAGAAGACTGATGATAACTCAAGTAGAAGGAATGTTAATAATAACATGTGTCCACGCATACTCTACCACGGAAGTAGGATACCCGACTGCAATGGTCGTGTATGGTCAGTAGTGTAAACCCATTACAATGCGGGATTAGTTAATGGCGGATTGGGAGGCTTAAATTTTGTACATCCAAATGTAAGTGATTATCTGACAGCAGGTTCAGGTAGAGAAATCCAATTCCAGCATCTTGACCTTGTTTTTCAGAGACTTCATAAACATGATATTACTGTCAATATAAGGAAATGTCAAATTGGAGCCGAGCCCTCAGATTTTCTGAGGCGGATCACCGTCTTTGTAGGTACCAACTCTCTAGAGATTAGAGTGGCAGCTACACTGAGTTACCCAAGACCGACGACAATATGGCAACATAACACATTCAACAGATAGGTAAACATTTATCATCAGCCAACAAGTACGCATCTCGCCAGTCTTTGGATAACAGGCCATGTACTACACGCTCTTAATAAATTATGATGTCCCTGGAAAATTGGAACAATTACCGGGTGTGATGAATTTTAGAGCTTCATGAATTCTCCTCCTCCTTTCCCTTGTTCTATGGCTTTCTGAGCATATTATCATTGTAAACATTCGAAACATATGTGTTAATTATGTGAGTAGGCATTTCATACTGAACGTCGTTTTATTCCCTAAAGCGTGAATACCACGGGAATAAATAGTATCCAAGAAAACATCGAAAATGTAAGTATGAGATGTGACATTTCTGTATTTCAGCGATAGTGCCATGTTTTTGATGTCGTTGAAAAACAAGGTTCAGATGCGAACTTGCGATAAGACATTCATCAGCGTGAGCATGCAAGAAGTCACGACCTCTTAAAACGTCAACAATGCATCTCCGAAAAGTATGAGCAGTATTTCTTAAAACGAAAGTCATATGCAAACAGTCGTAGGTTCCAAACGGATTAGTGATAGCTTTTGTTGAATGTTTTCGACAGCCGCATGGACCTGGTTATCAGCCTTTACCAAATCGGTTTTCAGAAAGACAGTTGTAACTTTCAGCATATCTGTCAAGACGAGAGTATGTGGCAATGTGTAACGATCAGGTGTGGTTTTCATATGCTGTCGTCGATAATAACTGGTTTGACGTTGATCACTGCTGTCCTTTATAGGGAACAGATACAATGCGAATGCTGAGAGAATGCTTGACGGTCGAACAATGCCTATACCTATCGTGTGTGCGAACTTGTTTTTGGCGATTCCCAGCTTTTCGGAAAATGGGTAACAGTAAAAGGAACGAACTGACAATATCTTGTTGAGTGTACAACATCATGCGTGCCCAACAGTGAGGATTCCACAGAAATCCACCGTTCGACAACGTTTTTGTCTATAATTTCTTTTAAATCGACGAAACCCGAAACCAGATCAAGCCAAAAGTCAGGGATGGGCAGGGTGGAAGTTGCACTTGAGTGTTGGTTAGGATATCAAAATGTGGATAAACTACACTTGCTAGACGATGCTAGACATGTTGCATGACTTTCTCGACGGCACCCTGTGGTGAATGCGTTACCGGGCTTCTTCAGTAAGAGTGTAACCGCGAAGGTTTAAAGAAATTTTCTGGGTTTATTTACCACTACAGCACTCACCCGAACTCCGCCTGTAGACCTTTCAGGGCTACTGCCGGTCCCAAGCCCGTATAAAGAAGGAGGGTTGTCTGCTCCATCCCACCAAAAAACTAACTTACCAAAAGCGCTAACCAGAACAAACAAATCGAACCACCTTAACTCTGAC